GGGGGGGGGGGGGCAGCCGGGGCAGGCTGGCAGGCAGGGCCGGCCGGCAGGGCCGGCAGGCGCGCAGCGAGCATGGCGGTGCTGCGCGGCACGGCGCGGCGCGGCAGCGGGGCCTTGCAGCCTGGTGCTGTCCCCTCCCCACCCGCCCCACTCCAACCCCCACCCGCCACCCGCCACCCCCGGCGCACGCAGGAGTGCTGCGGCGCCATCACCCGCGTGTTTGTGGACCGCCGCAACCTGGCAGCCTCGCTCAAGGATGCACGCACCATTGTGGGCACCCTGGAGACGCTCATCGGCATCTTCCTCCACATACTCATGGGCTTCATCTACCTGCTCATCTGGGACGTCGACGTGAGCGCCCAGCCGCTGAACACGAAAACCCTTGATGTGGTGGTGGTGTGTGGTGCCTGTTCATATCAGCCTGCCTGCCGAGCGTGCATGAGCGGGTGCGTGGATGCTGTGCAGGTGCTGAAAACGTGGGCTGGGTTTGCGTCGCTGTTCCTGGGCTTCAGCTTCATCTTCGGCAACAGCATCAGGACGACATGTGAGCTGCCGCGGCGCTGCGGCATGGCCCGCCGTCCCTGCCTTACCAGGGCACGCTGCGGCGCCGCTTGCTGTCCTTGCCGACCCTGTGCCCCACTGCTCCGCTGCGCATGGCAGACGAGAACGTGGTCTTCCTGTTCATGGTGCACCCCTACGATGTGGGGGACTCCATCTTCATTGACAACGACCAGACAAAGGTTGGGCGGGGCGGTGTGGCACCTGCCTGCCATGCGCCTGCCTGCCATGCGCCTGCCTGCCATGTGCCTGCCTGCTCCCCAGCGGGCCACCCCAGGCGGCTCGGCCCCTGCTGCCCCCCCCCGCAGGTGGAGGAGATCCACCTGTCCTTCACCGTGCTCACCAGCTCCAACAACCAGCGCGTTTGGTACCCCAACGAGAAGATCCGCGTCATCCCGTTCATCAACATCTCCACCTCGGGCAACCGCGGCGAGGCGTTCAAGGTGGGCGGGCGGCGCCGCCGCGGAGGGAGGGGGCGCCGCGCCGCGCGTGCTGCCATCTCGTGGCCTGCGCGTGCGCACCCTGCGGCATGCCCCGTGCTCAAGCATGGCCGCCCCTCTCCCACCATGCATGCGCTGCCCTCTCGCGCCCCTCTCCCCTCGCCAGGTGCTTGTCGACCTGGACACAGCGCCCGGCGTGATTGAGGAGCTGCGGTCGGCTGCCGAGGCATGCATCAGGGCCAACCCCAAGGACTTCTCCGGCACGCTGTCCGTCAACCTCAACACCGCGACCGCGCCGCTCAAGATGACCATCTCCGTTTACTGGGAGTATGCGCACTCGGGGGCAGACGGCGGCCGCCTGGGGCGCAACCGCACCAAGATGTGTGAGTGGCGGGGGTGGCCGTGGGGCGGCGCGCACGGCCCTGCCGCGCACGGCCCTGCCTGTGCTTCCAGGGCATGTCGTGCTGCAAGTGGCGGAGGAGGCCAGCGCCGCGAGGCGGCTGGCCTGCTTGCATCGCCTACAGGCGCCGCACCACTCCGTGAGCAGGTTGCTGCTGGTGTGTGTGTGTGTGTTGGTGCAGACACGGCGCTGTCCGAGGCCATGACCAGGTCGGGGTGCAGGTACACCTGGCCCGCCACCGCCGACATGCGCCCGGTGCCCCTGGCGGTGGGCGCCGGCGGCGATGCAGCGGGATTGGACCCGGCGGCAAAGCTGCTGTGAGCTGAGCCTCCCCCAATTGTTAATTTATTACATGTTCCTATTGCTATCTAGATGCTTCATTTCGGCTCCTCCCTGCATCGCCCAGCTTTTTTCCCCGAACTCAATGCCGCCCCCTCACTCCTGTTCATTGCTGCTGCTCTCGTGATGCCCTCAGGCCTGCACTGCCCTGTGGCCTGAACCATTTGATTCTGCCGATTTCCTAATGCTGAGCGTTGTGAATGTTACACACACACACACACAGGCGTCGGCCGCAGTGTGCCCAGGCGTGATTGGCGGGCCTCAGGCCTTCCCCAGTCAGCAGCCTGCAGCTTGTCGGCACATCCCTGCCGCCCTGTGTCAACGCGTGGCGTGGTGGAGAGCAGGGCGTGGCCGTCCCAGCCGAAACAACATGCCGCGCTGCGCTGGCGGTCGCCGGGAGCGTGCCTGGCGCGGCGGGCCTCACACCACCATGAAGTAGTTCTTCTGCACCTCCTCGTCCACCTCCTGCAGGGGCCGCGTTGCCGGCAAAGCAAGGCATCAGTCATGGCCGGCACAGGCGGCGCGACGGCGGCGATTGGCCGAGGCCGGCCCGGGTGCCGACCCAATGCTGACTGGCTGCCGCGCCACACCTTGGCCAGCTCGGGGTCTGCCGCCAGCTCGTCGTCAATGGTGGTGGTGGCGATGCGCTCCTTCTCCTTCTGGATGTTGGCGATCTCAGTCTGCACAACAGGCAGGGAGATGGGCCAGGCGTCGGTGCATGTGGTGCCAGCAGCAAGCCACACAGGGAGTGCCAGAAGGCCTGCTGGCCGCCGCCATTTGCTCGCCAGTCGAAAACGTGGCAACAGCCCTGCCGCGGTGCCCCGAACCTGGATCTCTGCGATGCGGATCTGGGAGGAGGTCACCAGCGCCTCCGCCTCCTTCTGCAGCGCCGCAAACTGGGCGGTGGCCTCCTGCAGCTCGGTGCCCTCGTACTTGGGCAGCTTCATGGCTGCGGGCGTGGGGCAGCGGCAACGGCGAGCAGCTGTTGAGCTGGGCTGGCCTCTCCAACATCCCAGCCCTGATCTCGACAGCAACTACCAGCTGGAAGCATGCACCAGCAAGCTTCCTTGTGACCGTACACAGCTGAACGCCACAGGTGGTGCCTGCGGTGCAGTTTGGCGGGCAGCTTGCGGCTGTGCTCACTCTCATATGCCTGCTTGAACTGCTGCACCAGCTTGGGGTCAATCTCCTTGCTCCAGTCCGCCCACTTGATCGCGGGCTGGGTCTGCAGGCGGGCAGGGCAAGGCAGGCACCGTCGCTGATCCGCGCCCCACCGCCCACGCGCGTGGTAGCCGGGCGGTCAGGGTAGCGCCCCGGCGGCCATCCTGATCGCCCCCGCAAGCCCACCTTGGCCATGCCGGTCAGCTTCTGAGCGATGTCGACGTACGAGCTGCGCAGGGTGGCCAGCTCCCGCTTGCCGTCGTCGCTAGTCACCAGGTCGGACAGCTCGTCCCAAACGGTGGTCTGCGGCGCCACGGCACCCTCGGCGAAGCACCGCTGCTGCTGCGCCGCGAGGGCGCCCCCCTGCAGCACACACCATGACGCGGGGTTTGAAGGGCTAGGGCCGGGGATCGCGACATAGCAGCCCACTGCACTCACCCTGCGCGCCGCCCGGACTGCAAGAGCGCGGAGCATCGCTCTAACCCGACCCTATGGCAGGCCCTGCGCTAGCCCGCGGGGAAGAAACGAGATCCAGGCCCGGATGTGGGTCAGCCAAAGCACCTGGAAGGCCCGCAACCAGGAGCATTTCCTCTCCATGCTGCGACCGCTGGGGCGGCCGCCACGGTGGCCGCCGTCTTTCTCGGCAGGGTCCACCAATTGCGTGCTGCGGCTTACAAGAATGTTGAATGAATGTAGGTACATGAAACAGAGATAATACAAAGTTGGAGGGGCACCGCTCCAGGCAGCAAGCCAGCGAGCGTGCCGCGGGTGCCGCCGACGCTCCCTAGCCGCCGCTGATGGGCGGAATCACTGCGACTTCATCCCCAGACTTCAACTGCTGCTCCTCGTCCACCCCCAGGTACTCCTGGTTCAGGCTAAACACGAAATTTCCTTGCAGCTCCTCCAATTGGGGGTACTGCAGGTGCAAGGTGCCGGGTCGGCGTGGGGGGTACAGGAGGGTAGGCTTGCGGCACAGGAAGCTGCACACAGGAGCTTGGGTTGGCGCTGGCATTGTATGGCCGAAACAGTGCCCCGCAGCGCCGAATGGATGGTGTAGGCGCACCCCGCCTCGCCGCCGCCGCTCGCACCTGTGACAAGAGCTGCTGCATTAGCGTTTTGGTGGTACTGCCGGGCTGCAGCGATATCCTGGCCTCGCTGGTGCCTGAAAGCTCCCTGCTGCGTGCGAAAAACAGCACAGTGACGTCCACCATGTCGCCCGCACACTAAAGTGGTAGCTACCGCTGCAACAGCTGTGGCAAAGACGCTTGCGCAAGGGTGAGCGAAGCAGCAAACCACTCAATCAGAGTCTCGCCCCTCCAGATGGGGTGCCTGCCCCGCTGCGCTGCCGCCAGCGTGCTCGAGTGCGGGGTGCAATTCGCAGGGACATTCAACCAGCGAGGGGACACTGGTAATCTTTATGCAAATGCCTGCCTTCCCAGCATTGTGCAGATAGAACCCCTGCCCATGCTTGCATTTCCAGGCATCGCTGCATAGGTGATGCAACTTTCACCGCCTTTACCTTCCTGCATACCCAGCCCATCACCCCGCTCACGCATTCCTTCAACCATTGGCTGTTCAGTTACATCCAGCAACGACACAACAGCAAAGATTTGGCCACGGCTGAGAGCCAGCGGCGCGGAGGGAGGAGCGCCCACCGCCGCGGCGGGATCCCAGGCGGGCAGAGAGGGGCCACAGCCCCCTGTGTAGACCAATCAAGACGAATGTCAGTGCGACACGTGCACCCGGCGAGCGCCGTGGCGTGCAGGAGAGAAAACAGGGGCTTGGCCGCCCCTGAACGGGCGGAGGAGGGCGGCTCGGCGACGTGCACAAGGGAGTCGAGTGTGAGGTGCTGGCCGCTGCTCGGCGGCAGCTGCGCCAGCAGGCGAAGACGACACGTGAGTAATAAACGAAGGGGAAGGAGGGCGGCGGCAACAGGGAGAGTGGCAATGCGATGGGGGCAAATGGAGCGGGTGGGTTCGTTTTCCCAGGGAAGGAATGCAAGGAAGCGTATCATGAATGGGCAGGGGTTGGTGGTGCTGGATAACGAGGAGGCTGCGCCCCGCTGGCCGCGGGGCGCAGCGGGGGCTCAGCCCGCGCATCCGCCCGCGCCGGTGCCGCTCGCTCACTGCGCGCGGGGGCGCAGGGAGATGAGGGAGTCGTGCGGGTAGATGGTCGGCAGGTACTTCATCTTGTCTGCGGCAGGGGGGCGGGCAGGCGGGCAGGCGAGGTGTGAGCTGGTGTGGCGAGCTGGAGGCATCGGGGGGCCGGCGCCCAGCCAGGCTGGCTCCCTCCGCACGCTGCTGGCGGCTGGCTGGCGGCTGGCTGCCCGGCACCGGCCCTCCTCCCTCCTGTCCCGCCCCGCCCCGCCCACCCGAGTCTGGAGTGCGCGTGCGGGTCCAGTCTGCGCCCAGGCTGGTGATGGCCAGGAAGAGGACGAGCTGGTTGATGGCGTACTCCTTGCCCACGCAGTAGTGGGGGCCGTAGCCAAAGGTGAGGAAGTTCTTGGCGTGCACAATGTCCTCCTTGCGCTCGGGACCCATGCGGTCTGGGTCAAACCGCTCGGCGTCGGGGAAGCCCTGGGGCACGAGGGATTGGGGGGTGGGCACGGGTGCAGTGGGAGGGGAGGCAGGCAGGCGGGGCAGGCGCGGGAGCGGTGGGCGCTCAGAGCAGGGCCGCGCCAGGAGCGCGGTACGAGCCGCCATGCGTGGCAGATCGGAACCCTCTTCCGCCAGCACAGGCACAGGGGCAGGGCAACCCCGCGGCGCGTGCCCCACAGGGGGCCGCACCTGCATGTTGGCTGCGTTGATGGAGGGGAAGACGAGGGTGCCGCGCGGGATGTCGTACTGCTCCGTCAGCGGGTAGTCGGCGTAGGCCATCTGCGGTACCATGGGGGCGGGGGCGCGGTACCGCAGGATCTCCTTCACCACCTGCGGCACAGGGAGGAGGGAGGGCGGGTGGGGGCGGGTGGAGGAGGGCTAGGCAGAGAGGGGACCGCAAGGGAGGCCAGGGCCCAACGCTGGTCTGTGGCACGACTGCGAATGCAGGCGCGCCTGCTCCTCTGGGGTGCCCTTGCCTCGCTGGCCCCACACAGGCACCCTGCCTGCCTACCCCCACGACCACCCAACCCGCCTCAGCCGTCGCCCGCACCCCCACCCCACCCACCTGGCGCGTATAGGCCATCTCTCCCAGCACCTCAGCAGTGATGGTCTGAGAGGGGTCGGGCCGCAGGCGCTGCTGCTCCTCCCGCACCCGCGCCAGCATGTGAGGGTTGTCCGCCATCAGCGTCAGGCACCACACCAGGGAGGCGGTGGAGGCGTCCTGGCTGGCAAACAGGAAGTCGATCATGGCGTCGCCCATGCGCGCAACAGTGGTGTGGCTGGGCGGCGGCTGCAGGGCGGACGGGGCGGGGCGGGCAGGGCGAAGGGGCAGAGGCAAGGGGTGAGGAGGGCGGGGAGGGGCAGGGGGTGAAGGGCCATGGGGCAGGCCCCCGGGAAGGGCGCTTGCTGGCTGCCGTGCGCCGGCCCGCCGTGAGGCGCCGCCCCCCGCTCACCAGTCCCTCCGCCTCTGCCTCTCCAATCTCCTCCAGGCACTTCTGCGCCCAGAAGTCCATCAGGCAGCGCGGCTCGCCGCCAGCCTGCACCACGCGGCGGGCGGGGCAGGCGGGCGCAATGCATGGTGTGGGGTGCCAGGGCAGGCTGAGCAGGGCGAGGGCAGCGAGGGTGGTGGCACGCCGGGGTGTGCAGTGTGCAGCGCGACGCGGCGCGGGGCCTGCTGCCGCCCGCCGCCTCACCTTGATGTGCTCCCGCGCCCGCGTGGCCGCCATCTTGAGC